GTGTGCAACCTTTCCATACGCAGTAAATTATGTTAGAACTCGAGCCGGCAGAAAAATCCGTTCGTTGGAACTTAAAACGCGTAGTCAGCCTCATGTGAAGTACAATTCACCTATATTAGATTCCATATGTCTGCTCCTCGAGAAAGACAAATACTAGTTGGAGCTAATCTACAGCTATTCTATAAAGAACTTTTGCTTTCAACATTTTACCAGTTAAAGCTGTTTGTGCTAACTATTTTAATTAATTTATGTTTTGTAGAACAAAAATAGAGAAAGTGGAAAGGTCATCAGTACTTTGTTAAAAAAGAAAGAACAAAAATAGCTTTAAACAAAGTAGATATATTCACCACTGATCAGCTAGTTAAAATTCTGTCCGCGGGCCGGATAAAATCTTCCGGCGGGCCACAGTTGGCCCGCGGGCCGTAGTTTCCCCATCCCTGAACTAGATAATGCCGCCTGAAATAGAGTGGGTTAAAAAAATTTTTTTTTTATAGAATTTTGGAACGCTTTAATGGAGAAAAGTTGCAGATCGTATTAAGAATAAAATCTTCATATTTTTTAAAAAAATCTATTACTACCTTTAGGTTGCACATCATATTTAAATTAAATGAAAACTTGAAAAAATTTCATTTTCACAAAATTTAAGTTAAGTTTTATAAAATAAGCAAGCTTCATTTCTTTATGCTTGCTTAATGATTTGAATATTCTAAATAAATTAAATTTTGATCATTAATTTTTTTACATTTGTTCAACGTTTTAGAAAAATAACGTAATTTCAATCAATTCCTAATTTTCAAAGTATATCTCTTCCCTCATTATGTTAGATCAGAACAATCTTGGAGTTACACGTTGAATTTCATTGAAGCACCCTATTCAACAAACCATCCAATTTTTTCATGAAGATTTTTCATCATATTTAGGGTTAGCTATATATAAAGATTTTTAATGGAGTAGTATTCATTGGCTTACTGAATTATTAAGGTTTGCCTACTGCATATTTAAATGTTTTTGTTTTTTTTTTTTGGAGAAAAAGAGGCTGAACTGATCTATATCTTAGTGTTGCCGTCTCTAGCTTCATGTCCACCGTTCACCTATTTTATTCTAACTGCTGCAACAAGTTTGACAATCATGGTGCTAGAATTGATCAGTGATTTAATATCTTCACTTAAGCCTCGCAGCATACGACACAAAAATTGTAATTAATGATTTTAAATAATTTATAGTTTACAAAATTTGGTCTTTGCTACAACAATTTCATGTCTGCCGACAATATATGCTCCTACTGTACATTTTAAATTCAATCACTGGGCATTGCCCAGAAGGCTTGGAAAATAACGATCTAATTCCTTTGCCACATTCCAGACAACTAACTTTCGTCAACCAAATCCTTAGGTTGTATATACAGGATATCCGCGCACCTGGAAAGTCATTGATAATCGTGGAAATTCATTAATTTCGACCTTAATCGAAAATTATCACCGAAATGCATGATTTTCAGTGATAAATGCTAAAAAAATCATGGAGACTCCCAGTTCGTCATGGATTTGGGGTATTGGAGTCCTTAATCCTGTTGGGCGATCTGAAAATCCCGCTTCTCGATTTGTATATACATGATTTAAATTTAAAAATAAAATATATTTTTAAATCAATCGAATGCAGATCACAATGGGCTCGCGTGATTTAAAATCTCTCATTACGATTTGCATTTGTGTGATTTAAAAATCAAATATCGTGATCCGTATTTGTACGAATTTATTATCACAATTAGCATTCACGTGATTCAAAAAATACACATTGCGATCCATATTTGTGCGATTTAAAAATCACACATCATGATCCGCATTCGTGCGTCGCACATCAGGAAAAAAAGATCACACATCAGGAAGAAATTGCACACATTACGATCTTATTTTGACTATTTTGAGTTATAAAGTATTAACCTGTGCAAGTCAAGGAAAGTGTTTGATAATGGTCATAAAAAATCATGGAAAGTCATAGATTTAAAAACTCTAGATTTAGCAGATACTCTGTACATAGAAAGAATCTTAAAAGCAATAAAAACCGTTCCAAAGGAAGAAAAAAAAGCTGTTAGAATTTTTTTTTTCTATCGGATTACTTTGAAATCATTAATTGGTGTGTTATATCCTTCCCCTATATGCTGCAAGACTTTGAAGATATTCACACATTTTGCTGACGCTTCGTCTGGAGAAGACTAAATATAAATTATATTGTAACATAATAAATGTGAATAAAAATAAATAACATATTGTTTTTATACCATGCATTTTTTTCTTTCATGAAAAAAGAATATTGATAAAGCAAAAATTTTATAATAAATTTAATTAATACGCTCATAACTTGTGTTTGACAACATTACTAAAAATGCATTTACATTTAAATCTGCACTTTGTTGTACATTTAAATAAAAAAATCATTTTTCTTTGAAGCAGAATTTTCTTAGACATTTTGATTAATTGATGATTTTAAAATTTTTGATATATATTTTTAATTTAAATTTTGCTAAAACAATTATAAAAACACTTTTAATTGAAACATTTCTATACGTATCATCTAGTACCTATAGATTTTAACTTCACATAAATAACTAGCGTCTTATTTCAATTTAATACATGAAAAAAAAATTCTATTCTAGTTTTCTTTTCGTAATAAAAAATTTAGAAAAAAAACTTTACTAAAATTTTCTGATTTAAAAAAAAAAAAATTAATTTTGGCAAAAATCTATTCTAATCACTTGAAGAAATATAAACATTTTTAATCTTGTAATGATTAGGAATTTTAACCATTTAGCTAGTTTGAATTATTTTTTAGGTTAACAATTGAATTATTAAAACAAAAATTGTATTCAGTTTTTTACATTTAAAATTATTTTAATTTTTGGAACAAATTATTATATATATATTTATATTAAACTAAAACTAATTTTTACTTATAAGCACACACGTTTGAAGTAAATAATTATTTTACATCGTTAACTTGCTTGGCATTGATTTGTTTAGCATAGCAATAAAGTTAACACGTGAAAATATTTTAAAATTTATTATTATTTTAAGTAAATACCAAATTTTATTGAAATGAAAATAGAGTATTTTCCTTATTCTATACAAATAATACTTTGGGAAAAATTTTAACACTAACTTCTGTTCCGTTACCACAAAGGATAAATGTACAATTTTAAATTAGCAAAAAAATTCTTTTCTATCTATATACTCAGAGTCTTCTCATAAAATAGAATAATTTAACATGCTTGTTACATTAAAAGCTAGTTTTTCATATAATACTTTCTCCAAATTTATTTACATATAATTATTACTAGATGGCAGCACTAGTGACAAAATCGGAAGCTTCGTAATGAATGTATTTATTGAACGCAATTAAAGATTTCGGCCAGTTATACTATAATTCTGTTCAATAATATGCTTTCATTTTTAGGTTAAGTGATGAATAAAGAAAA